TTTACGGTATTTCCGGTTTTTCGCCTTTAAGCTCGAAGGTTTAATGCTTTACATCCGTTATAATCACTCAGATCTTTCTGCTTAGATGATTTAATACCATTATATGATATTTATCTTTCAACAAATGTCATTTTGATATATTTGACATAAGTATTGTTTCTTTTATATTTGACATTCTAGTTAATCTGCCACTGCTTTCTTTCAAGCGAATAGAACACGGTCTGAAGATGGTCTAATTGCGCAAAAAATAGGAGTGTTTGGCTTTTAAGGCTTTGAATAAAAAAGCCAGCACGAATTTATTGTTTTTGACAGATTTTTTTTACGTACTCGAGCGATAGTTTATAACACAATCTTAATACTCTGGTTTTAAAAAATTAACCACCGAGTATTGATTTGAACAAATAATTCATAAATTTTTATACTTCTCTTGAGAACTATGAATACAAACGGTAAATTTTTCAATCAAAAATATTATAAACCTACCAACCCCTGCTTATACCTCTTCACTTTTAAACGCACTTCTTGTTCCATATATACACAGATTTATAAAATATACGGAGACAAAAGCATCATACCAAAAAATTAAAATCATTTATGTCATAAAAATCGTACACAACCATTACCACCCACTGATGTGGTCAATTTTAGTCCTAAATGCAGAATAACAACAAAAAATAATAACAATAACAAAAAAACCTTTTCTATTCTATATGAATTATTAGATTTTAGTCGTCCTTTTTTTGTTGGTTTTGTACAACTAAATAAAGAAAATAAAATAAGGATAAAATCCTGTGACGCATAATGAAATTTTCTAGTCTTGAAGCAATTTTTTTGAATTTTTGTATGTATAGTGAGTGGTTCTCTGTCTGTAAAATTTTTCCCTCTAATCTTAACAATTTGAACTCTCGTTGTTTTTTTATTCAAGATTTTTAAATTTAAATAAATAAGAAATTGTTTTGTGCATTTTTGTTTTTTATTAGAATGTACTCTTTATTCCTCTCAACCCATTTTTATTTAAAAAAAAAAAACAAAAATATTAAGTGCTAAGAGAAGAGGTCGAATTTCAAAAACATGAGAAAATCAAAAAATAAAAAAATTCTTTATTCTAAAAACTTCATAGCCATTCTATATTGCATAATATTCTTTTATTGACATTGTTTTGTAGGCTCAGAGAAACCAAGAAAGAAAGAATAAAAGATGAGTAAATGATGGTGCTAAAGACACAAACATAAAATCAAATAAAAAACCAATGTTCTTTTCGTTTAGAATAAGCCGCCTTGCTTTTCTAAAAAATAAAAAACCACAATGGAAACGGATGGGATACACCATTTCTGATTATTACAATGTAAAAATAAGGATATTTTTTTTAACAATATAATAAAAGGACATTTGAAATTTTAATGTGTAAAAAAAAAAGTGTCCTTTCCTTTTATTATCCTCTCTATTCAAAAAGAGGTTTTCTATAGAAAATTGGAACTTTTTCAAAAAAAAAAAATGTGGGATAAGGGAAAAACTCTTTATATTCACATTTTCTTTTTCTTTCTTGTTGCTTGTGTGGCTTTCCTTGAAAAGTTAAATTAGAAAATTTATAGCATAAATCTGAAACTAATTTTGAAACTTTTCTATGTATATGCGTTCTTATACTAGAAAAAAAATAAAATTTTTGAATTTTGAAACAAGTGAAAATGTTTTAGTCGATATAAACCGATTGAATTATACCCTGCAATAACTCGAACCTGTGAAACCATTCTATAGAAACTTCACGAATATGTTTGACCTATAATTGAACACGCGACTGCCAAGTTGCATGAATCTGACTTTATTATTTTTCCAAATATTTAAAATGAGCTTCTGGACTTGTATGGCAGCTAACCGAACCTGTCATGCAATTCCACCAAAACTTCAGGATTATATCAAACATTTATAATTGGACACACTACTGCCAAGTTTTGTAAATTTAGCTTTATTATTTTTTCGAATTTATAAAATTTGCTTTTGGAGTTGTATGGCAGCCACCCGAACCGGTGCAGCCGTTCCATCAACATTTTTTAAAGCATATGAAGAATGTAATTGGATACACGTATAAAAAATTTCATATTTATACCTTTATTATTTTTTGAAATATTTAAAATAAACTCTTTGAGCCTATTTACAACAGAAATGGTCTATTTACAATAGGGTTCGTCCTTGACACAAAAGAAATAACTTGTGAAAGTTTGATTTTGATTGCTTTATTCGTTTTTCAGTTATCGTGCGTTCGGGCGGACGGACGAACATGTCTAAATCAACTCAGAATTTTTACGCTGAGCAAGAATATATATATATGCCCATACCGCAGACGGCTCCATACCAAAGTTAATATACCCTTCAAGAAGGTGCAGGGTATAATAAAAAGAAGAATTCGTAATTTTTTCTTAAACGAATTCATTAATTTTAATATTTTTTATAGCTTTTAAAAATTTTTTACTATGCTATTATTATTTTTTTTTTTAAATTATTAAAAATTTTATTACAGGCAAAATGTTTCCACATGTTTGTCATACCAGGTAAGTGGGTAAATGCTTTAAAAGGTAATAAAAACTCTCATAAAAATAAAAAATAAATTAAAATTTAAATTTGAATTGAGCGTAAAAATTAAAAATTAAATTGCATTTAAATTAAAATTTCTTCTTTTCATAATTTTCTATTTTTTTAGGGAACGCTCCTTATAGTTATTTAAGAGAAAAGCTTTGTTCTCTGATAATAACTAAACTATTACTGAGGCCTACATCGTATAGCCATTTTGAAAACCTATAGGCTAATATTTGACAATAACATTACTTTTATAAGCAACAACTTTTAAATTTTTTTCTGCTTTTAACAAAAAATTCTCTTATACATACGTATATAAATCCTAATTCTAATAATATTCTTATAATATTCTATCTTCTGTTATAAAAATAAAGTCTAACCCAGTTATGTTAAAATATTAATTAATTTGATGTTATTTTCCATTTAAAAATGTACAACGCCATCTATCGCAATATATGCACATATAAGCTGAACTCAATGATTACCATTCATTTTCACGTACAATTTCAATAGCATACCTTGTATAACAATATTCTAATATATAAAAAAAATTTCATAATTATAAGATAACTACACAATATTTCGATCGTACCAAAAGAAGATAGTAGAGGACGAACAGACACTACTAAATCGGTTCTAATAAACGATTTCTATATCATTTGTTATGACGTCAAATATACTCACTATAGTTTCTCTTTTTAAGACGTACTTGGGCGTATTCAATTAAGAGTAATGCATGAGCTTAAACAGAAGACTAGTTGGGAGTCATTCCGGCTGTCTTTCCAAAATATTAAAATGGCTTTCAATTCTTGATAGTCAAATATTTTTGACTTTCACTACTGAACGAATTGCCATACAGAAAAGGGTTGGGTTCTATTTGCAAACCACTCTAGTAGAGGGTATTCTTTACATAAATCAAATGCAAAATATTGTCATATGAATTGTCATCAAAAATTTGACTCTACATAAATCTTAAATTCAACAATAAATTAAATATAGTTTTTAATAATAAAATTTTGACATTTTACTTTTTTTTTAATAAAAATTTTAGAAAAACGCGAAACCAGTTTTCATTTTTTCAACTGTACATCGAAAAATATTTTTTTTTTCATATTTTTGTAACCATTAAATATAAAGTTATTTTTTAAATTGAAACTAGATCATCATATAGCATAGCTACCTGCTTTTGTTAAAAAAAAAATACCATACAAGTTAGTTGACATTTTCTACTTTTTTATGTTCTTTTCTACATTTCAATATAACAAAAATTCATTTGAAATTCGTTAAAAAACAAGCAACAAACCATACACAAAAAAAAATGTAAAATATGAAAACTCTTTAAAGTTCAACAATCCATTAAATTATGGATTTTTTAAAAGTATACAGAGATGAAAGTGTTTTCAAATACATTCAAAAGTAAACGTACTTTTATTTTGCTACATGGTTTTTTAAAAGGATACTTCAAAAACATTATTTCGTCGGCTGAGAAATAAAACAGTGTATAAAAAAAGGTATAGTTTTGAGTAAATCGCGTTTGAAGTTTTTTGCAAAATGAAAATGAAGTTTCGAATCTAAAATCTTCCGGTTGTCATCTTTGACTATCCTGAAAAGTTATGTTAAACATTTTTGGGGAAATAAATAGTTTATTTGCATAAATTTGATTAAATAAATTTTTGTAGATCTTAGAAAATTAGAGGTTTGAAATTTCTTGGTACTTCTTACACTATTTTATTTTTGGTAGAAATTGTATGAAGAAAGTTATACACTGTTTCATTTTAATTTTTTTGTATGGTATACACCATTTCATTTTTATTTATACGTTATTTTATTTTGTAAAAAATTAATATAATTTGAGAAACAAAATTAACATTACATACTTTAACTCAACGTATAAAAATATAAACAGGTATTTTTATCGATATTAATGTAACATGAAAAGTCGTAAACAAAAATAAGTAATATTAACATAAAAGATAATTCAAATGTACATTATTTCTACTTGAAATTTTGAAACTTAGTTTTAAAAATTAATTATAGCTCTTCAATCTCGTCTTCTGAATAGCTTGGTTCGTTTAATTTAGATAAATTATTTTTAGATTAGACTTTTTCTGCCAAGTTTTGATAAAATGCTACTGAATGTTTCTAACTAAGATTGATTGATCATGTTTTCATATTGCGCACATGAAACGAGTAATTAAATTTTGTATTAAAGATTCTTTTATAAGTATGCTAGCCAACTTTTATGTGTATTTTATAATGCTTAAGTTAATGTGTTGGCAGTTGCAAACTCCGTTGTAACTTTCTTTTGCTTTGAATTCTTTCTTTTTTAATTTTTTTTATTGCTTTTTTACATTTTCACTTGTACTTTATAAAATTTTTTCGAGTAGTGTTTCCGCTGATGTAGATGTAATGGTTTCATTATCAAACGTTTAGTCTATAAAACATTCTGTAAGTTTTTCTGGTTCCGCTTCACCCGTTTCAGATGCTGAACTCTTGCTAGGTTCATAATTGTCATCAGAACCAGAAGAAAAGTCTGTAATAGAATTTTCTGGTGACTTCTCGAAAAATGTTACCACTTCTTCATCATTAAAATTTTTATTCCTTTTCTTTTTACGTAACACAACAAAATTATTTTAATTGTTGTGAGTATAAAATTTTGCCTTAAATTAATAATTATTTGCTTCACTTATTAAAAAAGTTATAACTTTAAGTTCTGTACTGATCAACAAAATCCAACAGAATACTTATTTCTTAAAAATATTTGTCTTATACATGAAGATGCATATAGAATTAAACACAATTAAACAAGTACAATGTACATATGTACGTTTGTTTTGTACGCTGTTTTATTGCATTGTTTGCCAGGGAAGACGATTCAAAATTCAAAATTAAAGTAGTGTATAAGACAATATGAAACAGTGTATCAAATTCTTACACCGTTTTACTTCTCAGTTTATTGCAAAAATTTTTTTTATTAAAATTTAAAAAGCGTGTAAAAGTAACATACACTTTTTTATTTGGTATTGAAATTAACAACTGAATGATAAATTTTCTACCAAAATAGTGTAAGAATTCATTACGTTATTTTAAATTTTGTAAAAAATTACGGTTTGGCAATAAAACAAAGTAAACGCATTTTACGCTATTTTGTTATTAATTAGTTTCTAAAAATGCTTTATACAATATTTTCGTTTTTATTTAAAAAGTATGTTAGAATGAAAAGATAGAGAAATATAAAGTAACTCAACTTATAGAATCGACTATGGAGAATCCAATGGTGATAAAATCGGATAACGACGTATAAATGTTATACGCTGTTTTCTTTCTCAGCCGACGATTTGTGTATCATGTATGTGAAATTTGTTAGTATATCTGTTAGTTTAGTAAATTGCTCTGCAAACGAGATATTTACAATATTTCAAAATATATTTTGATCATTTATGGTTGTCATCTTTTGATATCGAAAAATTTCTTTGAAATTTATTGAATTGCAACAAGTAGGATCACAAACTCTTTATTAATATTGCTTTCTGAGTGGTTCTGAAAAAATATTAAAACCAATATACATGAGTGTAATTATGATACACCAGTTTTAGAATGTTAATACGAACAACTATACCTAATGTGCATTAAAACCGGTTTTGAAACACTTAAAGAACTAAAGAGAACACAGTTAATATTGCACTTTGCAATGCAATATCACGTACACAAACCACTTACTTAACCTTATCAAGAGCTTAAAAATTGAGATTGATTTTTCAAAAATTTAAATAAAACTGAGAGTAAAAATTATTATTATCTCAAAATTGTTCATTATACACAAATAGCATATGACGGTTAGATTGTGTTGTCATTTTGCATTTCTATATGACACTAACAGGTTACTGCAACCTACATATTGCCACAATTATCATTTCAAAATACTCACATTACCGCGTACATTACATTATCGTGCTAATTATTTCTCTTGTAGCACATTAAAATTTTAACAAAATTCACATCTCTACATTTCTCTAACAAGCCTAGCGGTTAATGATAAAAACTAGCACATACATGGAAAAAAAAATTCAACTTTTTGTTTCCTGTATTATCTACTACTACAAAAATTGGGCTTATTGCCAAATTGTTATTTACACGTGACCATAACTTTATTATAATATTATGTTTTTTTTTTGTTTTTTGCCTGTTACACTTTTTTTTATAACAATATTCCAATTTTTTCCTCCTCCATTTTCACCTACAATCAAATGGGGAAAAAACAAACTCCATTTGTATTAAAATTTATATACGAATGTGTATGTGTGTTTCGTAACAATACAACCATTTTGGGAATATCATTAATGTTAAAACCTTAAAGGATTGTCGGTTTTATGTTTGGTTTTCTTAATTTTTTTTTGTTTCATTTAGACTTTTTTTTTTGAAATTCGTCCCAAAGAGAATTTGAGCAAATCGTTGTTAACTAACGGTAAAAAAATAAACTTGAAATATAAAGAGGAGGAAGAAAATGATGGCTTAAAGTATTAAGTCGAAAAAAGTCCATCACTTAATATAGAAATGTTTTAGGAAAATAGAAAAGGGTGCATATTTTTTGAAGAAAACAATGTAAGAACAAAAAACGCACTTCAAAAGGCAACTAAGATTTCTAAATTTCTAAAAGACCTTATTAACGAAATTAAAGCACAAGCAAATTTAAATTTCATTCTCTATTATTCTCAGTTCTCCAATATGTAAGTTTAATTTGCTCCAAAATAATTGACTATATGTATGCAAGGAAATTGCATTCAGCTGCTTAAGAGAAGATGCTTTTATAGCTATATATTTAAAGCAAAATAAAAGAATTACCAAAAATATAAAATAATAACATTCTGAAAACAGAAAGCAACAAGGCCTCACAAGGTGACAACACAAGACCTCATCTAACAAAATTTATGACAATATACTTAAGCATTATTTTCACTACAAACATTAAATTTGTTTTCTCTACTCCCAACCCATACTTTAAGATTGTATCCATTTAATTCCGTCAAATATAAATTAAATTTTAAATAAATTACATCTGACGTACATTTTTTTCTCAGATGCCTAAAGTTTTGTTTCATACTCAAAATTTATTGATTTATATCACAAGCTTGGCAGGCAGCTTAGTTTTTAATGAAAATTTTTGTATACAAGATTGAAATAACAAAAAACAAAATTTAAAATAAAATTTAATAAAATTCGACAATCTTTTTCAATTCATTCTCTATTTAAATTCTTAATCAGAGTATTTCAAAGTGGAAAATTAAAAGAATTTATGTTCATTTTGGAATCGGAACAGTATTCCCTTTGAACAAGAAAAAAATACCAAATTCATAATATTCGAAAGAAATTAGTAGCTCCGCTGAGCAAACTAATTGAATTCTTTTTTAAAATAGAAATCATTGCGAATTCTTAGCGAATTTGAAAGCCGCTGAACTCTCAACGAATTATACAGGAAATAAGTATTAGTTAATGTTTCGTATTGAATTTTGTACAATACTTTTTCTTGTTCCAAAATTCTAATCCATAATGGAAAAACAGAGTAGTATACTTAGTCTAGTGGAAGTATTTAAACAATGAAATGAACAATTCATATATGGTAATCCTTACAAAATCCTTTTTTAAATAACACGCACACTTTATGAGCCTATAAGTTCTCATACACCTTTGTTTTTTTTTTTTTTTGGTGGGATTTCACACTGACATTAAAATGATAAATTTCAATTGTTTTTGTTCATACCGAAGTTGTTTTTTTTTCTCATTTTTATATAGTCTGTCATTAATGAAAATTTATTTAACAAAAAACCTTTCTATTCTAATTCCATTGCGGAAAAAATTCTAAATCAAAAACAAAAACACAAATAAATAATTTTCCTATATTTCCTATTTTTTTTTCCTTTTTTTCACTTATTTCGCAGATTTTCGCATTCTATTTTATTAAAAAAAAAATAAAATGGAAAATATAAAAAATTTTCACAAATTTTCGCCATTTAAAATTTGGATTTTTTTTTTTATGAAAAGGTACGTACTTTTAAATCTATTTCATATGGTTTAAATAAGCGGAAAGACTTAAAAAAAAAATTCGATTTTATGCCTTATGCTTTTATGTGCTTTTATTCGAATAAAATAAAATTTTAAAACGCGAGCATTACAAAATTGAAAAATCTTCTATTAGAGCTCAAAAAATTTGGGCGCAGTTGAAAAGAAGTGTGTACATTAAAAATTTAACCTACTGGTACTACCAAGTGTTGAATGGAACAATTTCTCCTTTAGCTGTCAATTTATACAAGAGATATTGGTACCAGTATCGGCCACACATTTATACCCACTTTTATTGCTCGAAAAATAAAAGAAAATCTAACTTAATAGAAAAATAAAATAATTCTATAATTTTAAATGAAAACAATTTTTAATTTAACAATTTATCATTTATTTCGAAAGTCCAAAGCGTTTATTCTTTGAAATTTGAATTCTTGAAATTAACTGAGTTTTAATTTTTAGCTTCAAAACATTTTAATTCACCCTCGTGTTTTCGAAACTATGCTTTATACGGTATTTGGGTTTGGGAAAAATAAAGGATTATGAATAATAAAAACAAAAATAATCGTAAATTAAATATACTTTTCTATTGAGACAATTTTACTTTTTAAGTAACACCATTCTTTTCTTTTTAGCATTAGTCCGAATACAATAAGATTTAAATGTAAAATAAATAAATAATTTAATTTAATTTCATCTCAAATGTATTATGAAAGAAAAAATCAAAATTTCTTATAACATTCCTTGACTAAATTTTCTTTGTTTTCTGCACTTTGGATAATATTTCATAAATTTTATAAAGTGGCTGGTATTACAGAAATAATATACTGCTAATAACTCCGAAGTAATTAGGTTACAATAGTTTATAAATCAAATGCAATTTTATAAACCATACCTAGTAAATTTTAATATTGTGAATTGAACGAGTATTTTCCATAAATTGGAAGAAATATGTGTAACTAGATGCTTTCAACTATTCCTTTATATAAACTGGTATATATAGCTAGAAAAGTTCTATACTATAAATGGAAAACGTTGTAAACTATTATATTCACAATAAATAATTCACAATAATTAATTCAAATTTAAAAATTTTCCATTCAAATACAAAATCAATTCAAAACGTAAAATCTAAAATTCTATCATTAAATTCAAATTTAATTTTAATTTTTTTTTTAAATTTATCAAATAAAAAGCAATTGTATAAAAGAAATTCAAAAAAAAAAAGCAACAGTGAAAATATCTATGTATGTGTATAAAAAAAAAATTTAATCCTTGAAAAAGGAAACAAATCATTTGTATTAATCCGGTTTTTCTCTTTTAAGTGCTCATACATGCAATAAAGAATAAAGAAATTTTTAAAGAATAGAATTAAAAAAAAAAGAAAAATATTTTCCTACAATTTTCTGCTCATGTTGAGAAGAAAAAATATTTTTTTTCTCAGAATTAAATTTTATACTTTTTGTTACAATAATTTGAAAGTATTGTAGAATTACTT